TTAAAGAAGGTGATTTCGTGATTCCAGTCTATGTTGCAGAGTGTCAAAAATGTGAGAACTGTACATCAGAAAAGACCAATCTATGCCTAACCTACCCACTGGACTTTAGTTGCCTAATGCTTGATGGCACCTCAAGAATGTCTGTGAGAGGCCAGAGGTTATACCAAATGTTTTGCTGCTCAACATGGTCTGAGTTCATGGTTGTTAATGTCAATAATGCTTTGAAGATTGATCCAGGATTAGATCTTGCACATGCTAGCGTCCTTTCATGTGGTTTCTCAACTGGATTTGGGGCAGCTTGGAAGGAAGCTCAGGTTGAGAAGGGCTCAAGCGTGGCTATTTTTGGCCTTGGTTCTGTTGGCTTGGGGGTATGCAGTCTCAGCCTTTGCTTTTAAATTCTTACATCCCAATCAAGATAAAAAGTAAATATTGCAAAATAAAAAAACTAAGGGAGTGTTTGGTTTGGTTGGTTTTATCAATTTATAGCTTTTCTTCCTTAATATTTTCTCAAGTGATGTTAAAGTGCTGAAGATCAGGGTGGAATTATTGTTATATCCTCAAAAATTAATGCTACACTTTTTTAGTTTAGTCTAACTGACTAATATTAACTTGCACTAAACTTTTTCTTTGAAAGTTGCATTTTTTCATTTCTTAAATGAATTAAAGTGTATAATGATTAGTTAAGATAAAAAGTTGTGGCATTATTAATTGAAAGTATGGTAATAACACCACTCAAAAAATAGATATTAACTAATTCTATTAGTAATAAGCTATTTTTAATAGTCAAATCAAATAAAGCCTAAATGAAACTCTAGTTGAGTATGAGACTTCAAATTCCGGCATCAAACTAATTTGTGAGGTAATGTATATCTAATTGTAATGTACCTAACTAGCTGATAAATTTTTCTCAAAATTGCAGGCAGTAGAGGGAGCTAGAATGCTAGGGGCAGCGAAAATAATTGGCATAGACAAAAACCCCTTAAAGAAGGAAAAGGGACAAACTTTTGGAATGACTGATTTCATAAACCCAGAGGAATCAAACGAACCAGTTTCTAAGTTGATTAAAGACTTAACTGGTGGAATGGGTGTTAGCTACAGCTTTGAGTGCACTGGATCTACACCATTAGTCAATGAAGCAATTGAAGCCACAAAGATGGTATTCTGTTGTATCCTTTATGGATTTTCATTTCTAAGATGAATGCTTCAAATTTTTGATCAATAGTTCGATCACCAGGGAATCGGAAAAACCATAATAATTGGCACGGGAGAACATCCTAACATGCAGGTAAATTTCCTTTCCCTTGTTTGTGGCAGAACTTTGAAGGGATCTGTCTTTGGAGGGATCAAAGCCAAAACCGACCTCCCATTGGTGCTCAAAAAATGCAAAAATAAGGTAACACCTTTTAGAGGAAATTATTTTGTGATATAAAATAGCAGTTTGTCTAATAAATTATATAAAAATGATTTTTTCTTTTAATTTAAAATAGTTCAAATTGTAAATTATTTAAATATTTTTACCAAATATGATTTAATAAAAAATTTTAACATTTTCGTAGCTCAAAGGCAAATTGTAAAAGTTTTTGTGTAGTTTTGATTGAAAAATACTTCTATAAATTATATATTTAGAAAATCGAAATGTTTTTGCTTGATTGTAAGGCAACTCAAGAATGTTTAACTTCATTTTACAGGAAATCAAACTTGACGGAATTTTGACTCATGAGGTTCAGCTTGGAGACATAAACAGGGCATTTGAGTTATTGAAGCAACTGGATTGTGTGAAGGTTCTTATCAAAATTTGATGGATATGAGTCGCAACAAGAAATAAAACGATGAAAGAAGATGAGTGGGGCCAAAAAAGTGCGACGAAATCTTTATAATCCTAAATAACAGTGCTCTAAAATAATAGTTGAAAAATAGTGGCCCAATATGTACTCTTTGTTTGTCATAATGTTAATTTTATTTAGCAAGTACATCTTGATAACATAAATTTCGTAGAGGCTTAAAGGTTTTTGACAAAATTTAAAAAGTAATTTATTTAAAAATTAATTTTTTTATAAAGTTAAACATTTGTTAAATGAATTGGTTTTTAAAATAACTTTTAAATAAGTTTAATAATTAAATAAAATTTAAGAAAACTTATTAAATTTATTTAAAAAATTATTTTATAAGGTAAAATTTATTTAAAAATTATTTTAAAAGTCAAATTTTGAACTTATAAAAGAAAATTTTATTTTTGAAACAAGTACTGTTTAATTTTAAGTTTTTGTCAAAAATGCTACTAAAAGAGTCATCTTAATGCCCGCAACTTTTCAAAAAGAGTTATTATTTCTGTCTACTTTAAAAACATTCATAAAAATCTCTCAACTTTGAAGAAGGCCAAACATCATCCCTTTTCATTGACGGTCGTTATAACACCACCCACCCATCTATTAAAATCCTCTAAATTTTAATGGTAAAACTATATTATCAGTCTTTAACTTTTAATTCCTATGCCCTTTGATCCCCAAAGTTCATATTTATTGAATATGGTCCTTAATTTTAACTTTTCTTACATGCATCTTGCTTGATAGAGATATTAGTAATAAAAGAATTGAATTGCATAAATGTATTGATCATAGGAATGTTTGCTAAAATCATTGACTTATTTATCACTTTGGGTGGGTGACCATGATATGATTTGTTGTTAGATATCGTTTTTGGTTAATGATACATGTTTATTACCTATGTGACAGAAATCTAGAAAATCATACATTTAGTGCTCTTTATGGGATTAGATCTCTATAATCTAAGTTATGGAAAGAGGATTAATTTATGTAAAAATAGTATTTTTAGTATAAAAATAAATAAATTAAG